CAACTCTTAACTAGGTGAGTACAACTAGGTGAGTACACACACCAACACACACACACACACACACACACACACACAACACACACACACACACACACCACACACCTTCTAACCCAAACACCAACTTATCATCCAAATCACTAATCTGCAATTGCACATCTAGATAATAATTCAATTATTCTATACTTTTTTTTTTTTACAAAAGTTAATACGCGGTTTACAGCGATAAAAGTGAGCTCATTCGATACACTAATCGCTTCATTGAGCTTGTATTAGGGTCACATAGGGAAAATTTCAGAGTTTTATTAACCATGAAGTCTCGGTTTTCAATATAATTTGAAATTGTTTAGAAAAGCAAAAAGATGACAACAGGTATGGGAGAACAAAGACACGGGAGCAACACTAGCTCATATTTCTTATATAACCTTTCGGTCCTAGGGCCTTGATAACTTCTAACTTACAAGGGTCAAAATGAGGGAATAAATAGGCACAAAAAGAGAGGTGTGAAAGAATTTCATCCGGTCACCACCTGTGTCTCACATCTCTTCTTTTTTATAACACACTGGTCGTCGCCAGCCGAGATGGGTTGGCCCGAAGAAGAAGAAACACCATCACCGTCATCCATTCAATCACTGACATTCCAGAAGCGTACTGACATCACAGATCAGATGACCCTCTGAACAGCTATATCCTCACACCTTTAGAATAAAGGCACCATGCTTTTCACCTCCAGCCCGAGGACTCAGCCATGCCGCGACCTCAAGTGCCTGATGTCAAGGAAAGTATTTTAAGTAAAGATGAAAGCGAAAGATAAGTCCATGGTAATTAACGGTATTAAATGATCCACATAACATGTCAGTAATCATCACAGGGTCGCCGAATGTCTTTCCTTTTTGAATAAAAGAGCAACAAGCATTTTGACACTTGACGTCATGGCGTGGCTGGGTACTCTGGCTGCTGGTTTCCATCTCTTCTTGCTGCAAGGAGTCCTTGGAGAAATCTGTTTGGGCTCTTCTGCATTCCATTTTTTCAAATTGCTTTACTCCTAAAGAAACACTGCAGTTGCGGTGTGAAAAGGCATAAACCAAAATAATCAAAATAATTTCTTCCCATTCAGTTCCTATAATATATATATATATATATATATTATATATATATTATATTATATATATTATATATATATATATATATATAATATATATATATATATATATATATATATATATATATATATATGCAATAAGATCACAGTAAACAGGTGATTTCAGAATATGCAAACAACCACTCTGAAAGAATAGAGAAATTCCAAGCGCTTTCGTGACTACTCACATTATCAAGGAACTATGAAAGTAAGCATCCAAGGAAGCTATATAAGGGGTCTGGCCAGCACCTCACTATCAGATCCCACAACGGTTAAACACCTGACGCGCGCCGACCCAACTTGGATAGGTCCTTTGCACAACTCACCCACAAACTATTCTACCCAAGAAAATTTAAAAATTATTATTTGTCCAGTGTATTATTAAATTCTTCCCAAATTCTATTAATTATAAATGGATCTAATTTATATAAACCAAAGGAAATATTCATATTATTGTCAAAACTGCTTTTTATGAAACAAGATTCAATTATATTCCTGTCGACCATGGACTTGCTTGATACTACTTTCTCAACTTTTTGAAAATCAATTGGATGGTTAAAATCTCTTACATGAATAAATAGAGCATTGGAATCTTGTCCAGTTCTAATGCTATATTTATGTTGTTTTAATCTTAGTTCGAGATTTTTACCAGTTTGACCGTAATAAACTTTATCGCAAATTTTACAAGGAATCTTATAGACACATCCATCAGCATTTTGGGGGGAATTCTTTATCAAAAGTTTTTTTAACTGTATCAAGATTTTTGAATATAACTTTAATATTAAAAGTCTTAAGAAGAGAAGGCATATCAACCAAGTTTTCATGGTAAGGGAGAACCAACATATTTTTAGTTGAATAAGGCTGGTTGTCCCTTTTTGGATTGTTAAAAGTATTTCTAGCAACTTTAAAAGATTTATCAATTACATTTCTTGGGTATTTTAAATCATTACCTATTTCATAAATTTTGGATATTTCCTCATCTATGAACTCAGGACTACAAATTCGTAAAGCTCTCAAAAACATTGATGAGAAAACAGACAGTTTGACTCTATCTTGATGCGAGGAATAATAGTGGACGTAGGAACAGTTATTTGTAGGTTTTCTGTAAATTTTAAATTTGAATTCATTGAATTCATTAGGAAAAATTCCCTAGAAACCGTTAACAGCAATTTCAATAAAACAATAAAACTTCTACTGAAAGGCAAAGATGAATTAGTCAAACAATTTACTTCCACTAATCCATCTTTACCTCACATGTATGGACTAATAAAAACACACAAACCAGGGAATCCAGTCAGACCAATTATTAGCTCCATAGGGTCAGTTTCATATAAATTATCCAAATGGCTTGTTGATATTTTGAGCCCTATTGTTGGCAAAATTTCTAACTTTAATGTTAAAAACAACATAGACTTGGTTGATAAATTAAGCTCCTTGACTGACTTAAATGATTTTAACATGGTTAGTTTTGATGTTACTTCATTGTTTACGAAAGTTCCTGTTGATGATTTATTAAGTTTCTTATCTGAAGAACTCGTTAACTATGATTTACCATTGCCAGTTCCTACTACCATTAAACTTATTAAACTTTGCATTGTTGATGCAAAATTTGTATTTAATGATAATTTTTACACTCAGAAGTTTGGTATGGCAATGGGAAATCCTCTTTCACCTGTTCTTAGTAACCTATACATGGAATTTTTTGAAACAAGGTTGCTTAACACAATCCTCCCTAATAGAGCTAAATGGTTCAGATATGTTGATGATATTTTGTGTCTTATGCCCAAAAATGTAGATATACACCATTTCCTTGGAAAATTAAATAGCTTAGCCCATTCTATAAACTTTACTGTTGAGTTTGAAGAAAATAACTCATTGCCTTTTCTAGATGTTTTAATTATTAAGGGTAATAATGAATTCAAATTTAAAATTTACAGAAAACCTACAAATAACTGTTCCTATTTCCACTATTATTCCTCGCATCAAGATAGAGTCAAACTGTCTGTTTTCTCATCAATGTTTTTGAGAGCTTTACGAATTTGTAGTCCTGAGTTCATAGATGAGGAAATATCCAAAATTTATGAAATAGGTAATGATTTAAAATACCCAAGAAATGTAATTGATAAATCTTTTAAAGTTGCTAGAAATACATTTTACAATCCAAAAAGGGACAACCAGCCTTATTCAATTAAAAATATGTTGGTTCTCCCTTACCATAAAAACTTGGTTGATATGCCTTCTCTTCTTAAGACTTTTAATATTAAAGTTATATTCAAAAATCTTGATACAGTAAAAAAAACTTTTGATAAAGAATTCCCCCCAAAATGCTGATGGATGTGTCTATAAGATTCCTTGTAAAATTTGCGATAAAGTTTATTACGGTCAAAGTTTATTACGGTCAAATCTCGAACTAAGATTAAAACAACATAAATATAGCATTAGAACTGGACAAGATTCCAATGCTCTATTTATTCATGTAAGAGATTTTAACCATCCAATTGATTTTCAAAAAGTTGAGTAAGTAGTATCAAGCAAGTCCATGGTCGACAGGAATATAATTGAATCTTGTTTCATAAAAAGCAGTTTTGACAATAATATGAATATTTCCTTTGGTTTATATAAATTAGATCCATTTATAATTAATAGAATTTGGGAAGAATTTAATAATACACTGGACAAATAATAATTTTTAAATTTTCTTGGGTAGAATAGTTTGTGGGTGAGTTGTGCAAAGGACCTATCCAAGTTGGGTCGGCGCGGGTCAGGTGTTTAACCGTTGTGGGATCTGATAGTGAGGTGCTGGCCAGACCCCTTATATAGCTTCCTTGGATGCTTTACTTTCATAGTTCCTTGATAATGTGAGTAGTCACGAAAGCGCTTGGAATTTCTCTATTCTTTCAGAGTGGTTGTTTTGCATATATATATATATATATATATTATATTATATATTATATATATATATATATTATATATATATTATATATATATATATATATATAATATGTATTATTATATATATAGTATTATATATATATATATATATATATATATATATATATATATATATATATATATATATATATATATATATATTATATATATATATATATATTATATATATATATATCAAGTCTACACCATTCCTGTTAAACTAGAAAAATGTAAATACATCTTAAATGGGATAGAACCAATTGTCAATTATAATTAATCAGTAGATGGATTAATGTTTTGCTTAATGCACTCTGGTTGAGACTATTGAATTATCGTCGTGGAAAAGCCCTCGTAGATCAGTCCCGATAAACAATACTACAGGTTACCCGGTCATCAAACCCTGGTTAACTTAAGACCTTCATGAATTCACAGCAGACCATCCTTTCATTGGTATGAATCCGTAAATACTCCAGAAAAATCCGTTAAATTACTCATCATTCTAAATTCACTTTAATCATTTTGTTTACGTCTTACCTTCACTCAACCATCGGCGCATCAATTCTCTTAATAAAATGTATTGCATGAACATTCAGAGGAATGGATATATTGGGCAGATGCGTAAGTGAGAGAATGAATAGGTTGTATGGGTAAGCGGGTGAGAGGATGGCTAGGTAGGTGAATGGATATGTGGATGAGATGAAGGCGGAATGAATGTGTATACGGCAGGAGGATTAGAGAGTGAGGTGTTGTGGGCAACTGGGTAGTAGGACAAACGGGTAGGTGGATGGCATGGATGATGGATGTGCGGGTGTGTGAGTGGATGGAAAACTGAATGAGCAGTAGAGAGGATGGATGAGTAGGTGTGTGGGTGGCGAGGGAAGTGGCTTCTACACTGGTGAGAATTGGATGAACTCGCTTGTTTGTCACTTACCTGTTCATGCTGGCGGGTGGGTCCCTGACTCTCACCGGGTGTTATGTTCAAATCAGTGTAGACACTTGTCTTCTTTCGGCACTTTCTGACACTTTCTCAGCACGTTCTGTGCACTTTCTTAGATCCTATGGATATCTTGATCCTTCTACAGGAGAGTCTCAGGACAAAATTAGTAACGAAATCAGTTCCTCTCTGGAACAGTGATTGTATTAATAATTTCTTCTGCTAACCACCACATAGAATGACAGATCTAAGTTATTTTTCAGTATTACTTTTTTGAGATTTTGGGATTACTACCTCTCACACACTGGAGCAGTAACGTACCTCTGTTGTTATTTAACTAGTAACGCCCAACACTTGACAAGATAAAGAGAGAAGTCCTCCAGTTCCTCTCTGAACTTCACTCACAAACACTAGAAATTGGATTCACTGTTCAAGTGCGTGTCAATTCGCCTACAGAGGTCCTATAATTGAACAGCTTTCTACTTTCAGCACGACAAAATTATTTTAAAATAAGTCAAATTAGCAGATACGTAAAACTTAACGAATACATAAATTACTGTTCAGCATGCTACCTAAGTACTGTTCAGTGCTCAAAAAAGTAAAAAAGAATTCAATGTATTACTGAGATAATGCTTTTGTTCCTGTAGGATTAAGGCACTTGTTGGCGTGGATGCAACTCGATACACGCAGCCAAGGCGTGGGCACGGACAGAGGTTGATACAGGTAGACTCAGTGTGGGCACCTCAGAAATGCTCGCAGACCTACGTAGTGCCTGAGGGGTGAGAGAGCGAGGTGGTGTGCTGTGTTCAAGGTGGCACCACAGGCCAGAGTGATGCTCTCGCTCAGCCGCGCGACAGGTATATACCGACGTGCCGGGCCACGCGCCCTGGCCTGTTTATTTATCTACCTCGCCTTCTTCACATCCTCAGTTATCTTCTCTGAGGTGGGTAGGTAGTCAGACAGACAGGCCTCCCTATCTACTTGTCTAACTACCTACGTCAAAAGGTTTTCCTGTGCCTACTTCTATCGACCTATTTATCTAACCTTCCTCACAAACCAGTCTTATCTATTAGCCTTAACTTCCTGCTGTAAGTAGATAAAGATGATAGAAACCTCCCACGGTCGCCAAAAGCAACTAAACAATTAAAATTCTAAAAAAAAAAAAAAAAAAAAAAAAAAAAAAAAAAAAAAAAAAAAGGCATTAACTATTTTGGGACGTCCTGAGCCAAGTCAGAATTCCATACATTTTTTTTAATATTCTTACGAAACAAAATTTTGATCAGATTGAAAGCATCCATTTCTCTAATAAAATATTACTGTCTTCATACAGATCAGCAAGACAATTGCCGTTAAGAAATTATCTTACTACTTAGGGATAAATTATCACTTTTAATTGGCACTGTGTTACTTTGTAAACAATGTCGTAATTTAGGTAATACTTTGCTTTATGTAACGTGGAATTTAGCAATAACAGTTATAGACTGCAGTCACTGCAGATGATAAAAGTTTATGATGTGAATTTTTCATTGATCACGTAGTAAATACGAATTAATCGGCGAAGCAATTTTACCACCCGAGATGGTCCATTAATATCAATTCCAGTTTCCTCCCCTCGAGCTCTTGGTGTTGGGGTTAATAATTGGTTGCTTTTCTGTACAAATACTTAAATATACTGATAGACAAGAAGACATAAGTATTCGTGGAAGAAGCCAGAACTCTAGGAATCATACAAATGGAATTAGACCGTAGGATGCTACAAGAACATCTTGAAAGCCGAAGATGGCTAAATACGATTTTACAGATTTTTCAATGTCAGGTAGCTGCTGTAGGTTTAATAGTCAGGGGAATAGTACGTGATACGGAATTTTGTCAACATAAAATATATTTAGTGGTGACGGCACTATGGTCGAGATAAGGCAATCTAATGTGATTAAGAAAACATGAGGTGATGTAGCCATTGCCTTATACCCACAGCAAAATTCACCGCTGGCTGGACAAAGTTGTGTGAGTGTCCCGAAAAGTGGTAAGTAACGTAGCTAAACATCAGGAACTGGAGTCGCTAGACGACCTAGGTTTCGAAAAAATAGAGTCCTTGAGGTAGACATCATCCCTATTCTATCTCCAGAATTACACAGATAATTAGCAAACATATGCATGACCTTTTGGGGCTTGAATAAATTTAATATAATATGTTACGGAAATCGAGAGGTAATAGCTGTTAAGAAAAATGATATCATCTTGATCTTATACCACTGGAGAAGACGTGAAAACAGTATAAAGTATACTCTGAGATATAGACAACAGGATAAAATAGATTTAAAAATGCAAGAATCCTTGACGATGGAAAACAAATAGAAGCTGAACATCTAAACAAGTCCTTAAAACGTTATGAAGCAGTTTTAAAACTTAAAAGTAAAAAGTGAAAAGAGGAAGAGGTCATGATGCGGCGGAGATTCTATACAATGAATAAAAAAAGAGCTAAAAAGTCGTCAGTCGAATGAAGCAGCCAAGCATAAAAGATGAGCTTTAACAACGGAAGCACAAATTAACAAGCATATAAATAATTGTGCACACAAGCTTCACACATGAAGTGCACACTCGTCAGTATCTCCCTCCCTAGGTGCTGGAACTTCTGGATTCCCTGTCAGGAACGTAGTACAGTATCAACACGTTTCTGTTGTTCGATGCACTCGCTCTATTAGCACCCGTCTAAACCCAAATATAAGCTTGCATTGTTGATGCAGTAAGTCTTCTCACTCCCAACAACAGCTCAAGCCAGGCACTGAGTTACAATTCTTCTTCTTCTTCTTCTTCTTCTTCTTCTTCTTATTATTATTATTATTATTATTATTATTATTATTATTATTATTATTATTATTATTATTATTATTATTAAAACGTTACCATTACTTTAACATGTATATGGACAAAGTTAACTGAAGGAGCAACTAAGGATACCTTTGATCAATATGTAGCGTCTTCCATTGCTATTCTTTGTGTGATAGACACTTCACCTGGATCTTATCCTATCCAAGATGCATAATAATTATGATAGTGATTCATAATACTAATGGAGTAAGTACCGATGGTGCTGTTTATGATGATGGCAGAGGAGGAGGATAACAAGGACGACCACATACAGGTGAAAAGTCAGTTAGTCTCTCTCACATAGTAGTTAGAAGTGAAACAAATATAGCCTTCTTCCCCCCACCCCCTTTGCCCCCTTCTCACTCATATTATCTTTCTTATATTTTTTAGCACTCTCTTCCTGATGGTGGCTTTCAAGTTCCTTTCTCGCACTTTCACAAGTTTTAACTCTCACACTCTCATTCTCTTCCGGCTTAATCATCAGTCCCCTCCTCTCCTCACCTGTTTTTTTACAGTGCCGAACTTTCTCTGGCCTCTACATCTATCTTCTGGAATCTTGGCCTTTTTCTGGCATCAAAGCCTTTTTTGGTTCAGGGAGGCAATAAGCTTTAGATACTGTATAAACGAATTGTTTTCCCACAGCAAGAAGTTGCGAGATGGGTGAAATTAGGTTAAGTTACTGTGCTCAAAGTTGTTGATTCTGAAGGAAAGATAATTTTTTTAATTAGAATAAATATTAAATTATCTCTGAAGTAACTCTTAGTCGTATGGTCCTCTGATCATAAAGTTTTCGGACATGTGACCGAGGCCTTTTGTTTACTTAGGCCCAACATGCAAACAAAAATTTTATCATTATATGTATCATGAATATTTTTCAGTATAAACAAATCTCCTTTTGAGTGCATATATGTTAAGTCGTCGCCAGTAATATGAATGTGTACAATTTTAACAGACATAGTAAAGAAGAAAAATGGTTATCATATGATTTCACGTATATTTCGAAAAAGTCTCACAAGCTGCCTATGGTAATGATTTGATACATTGGTGCAAGTTTTGGAAAATCTAGTTTTTGTTAGTAAATGGAAAGACACTAAACTAAGCTAAATTATATTTATAACTATTTTATGTAACATTTAGAAACAGAGACAATAGATATGACATTAAAGAAGGCAATAAAAGATATTGGGTGGACAAAAAAAGGGTATACTTAGTGCAGGTAGATTTGAACAGAGGGATTTTTTTTGATTCATTATCTAGACTCGAGTAACTGTTGATATTTTCCGCGAACAGACACACAGTAACTGTTGAGAACCGTCACAGGATAAACAGGGAAGTTCGTTGGCAGGAGGAAATTCCTGCTCACACGCAAACACACACACCACACACACACACACCACACACACACACACACACACACACACACACACACACACACACACACACACACACACACACACACACATACAAACACACTTAAATATTCATACATAAACATAAAGCGCGCGCGCACACAGACACACACACACACACACACACACACACACACACACACACACACACACACACACACACACACAAACACACACACACACACACACACACACACACACACACACACACACACACACACACACACACACACACCACACACACACACACACACACACACACACACACACACAGAATGTTTCAGAGATGGGACACAGCAGCAAGGGGACACAGTTGGAAGCTGAAGACTCAGATGAATCACAGAGATGTTAGGAAGTATTTCTTCAGTCACAGAGTAGTCAGGAAGTGGAATAGTTTGAGAAGTGATGTAGTGGAGACAGGATCCATTCATAGCTTTAAGAAAAGGTATGATAAAGTTCATGATGCAGGGAGAGTGACCCAGTAGCGGCCAGTGAAGAGGAGAGGCCAGGAGCTGTGACTTGACCCCTGCAACCACAACTAGGTGAGTACACACATATAAACCCACACACATGACGACAGAGAGAGAGAGTCAGCGATGCAGACTTAAAAACAGACAGAAAAGGACAGAGACATTTAAATTTAGGTTTCGCTGCTGAGCAGGTAAGTTTACTGTGCACTCCACAGCCTTTGTGAATCTTTATTCAAGAGCATAAAGATACACAAATGGGTTATGAATTAGGCCCAAAAGGGGTTAACAATAGTCCATCCGGTTTTATATCTATAGTCGACTTATCTAATGCAAGAAATTTTAGGATAATTGCTTAATCTGTCTGGTATCATATTTTCATTAATAAGATACCTTGGCATATTACATAGGTTATTATACTGCCTGTCTCTATATTATTCAATAAATGAACAATTACACACATAACATTCAGTTCAGCGACAATGGGGATGACCATACTATGTATATAGTTTGATCATCTGTGTGTCTGCCAGACTGCCAGAAATACTTGCAACCAAGCCTAAGCCTGTCTACTACAACATCAGTCAGTCTGTTCTCATATATTTACTTATATTCGTTCATGGTATCGTAATGCTAGACACAGATAAAGGAAAGTTATATGTCAGTGTCTAGCACTAGGAATAATATTAGGGGAGAATGAGAGTATGAACACATAATGGGTGTTAGTCACGAGAATTTCCTCAGCATGTCTCGAGAGTTTATTTTTATATGATTTTATATAATAATAATAATAATAATAATAATAATAATAATAATAATAATAATAATAATAATAATAATAAATTATTATTGATGTTAATGATTATTGTTTTTATATTGTTTTCATCATTCTTCATATATGCCGATTTTTGTGTTTAATTCTCTTCATATTTATCCATAAGAATTTAGAACGTAAGAACCGTTTCAAATATATTCTACAACTTTTTTTTATATCACATCAACTAATACAATTTGTTTACAAACCAGGGCGTCAGTCTCAGAGACGCCTTCCTCGACATGTGGATCCGGATTCGCCACCC